AGCTCAAAGTATGTTAGCTTTTTTTCCTCAAAACGTCATTGTGGTCAGGTCGAGTCCAGCGAGCCCAAGCCTATCACACAGGCCAACAGGCAATCCCCACCAAGAAATTGATCGAGGACCGGGGTCGCGAAGGGAAAAGAGACGAGCGGTCGATCGGGATGGAGGCTGCGGCGCGGAAGATGCAGAAGCGGGTGAGGAAGGCACGGGAGGAGACGGAGCGATGGGATGACCTCAACTCCCGCCTCCTGTTACAGTTCTCCAATGCCGCCGCCATCATCACCCGCCTTCCAGTAGCTTTCATTCTCCTCAGATCCTTCCTTGCGCTTATCTGCGTCCTACTTGTACGCAGCAGGCAGCAGCTTCAGTGATGTGCCGCGCATGCTCAATTCCGCAGCTGTAATGGGGTTTGAGAAATCCAGTAAATGTTCTACACGGTTCACAGTAAGGTGGTTCCCTGATACTGCTGCTAATATGCAAGCTAGGGTGCTCATTTAATGTTAGTGACTAGTGGCTACCTAGCTGCATTGTGATGTTGGATTCTCATGTATCTGGAGGATTTAAAATCTTACTCTGCATCATGTGTTGACAAGGTACTTGGAGATGCTAAAAATTACGGTGTCCTGTGGTGTGTGCCCAACTTCAGGGAGGATCTCTTGGGGGTGCAGATGGAGAGCCTGGAGCTCATATTTGTTTCAGTGAAGGAGGCTCTGTAAGCTGCTGTCACTGTTGTTGCAACCGCTTTTGGTTTGGTCCAACTCTAGAAGCATATGCAATGGAATTGTTTCGAGTTGGTGTTACAATGTTGCTGCATTTTGTTTTTCAGGGAGGAGTTCAGTGGCATTGCCAAAGGTTTGAGCAAGGTACTGCATGATGCTAATCAGATGGTGAGGGGTGGATTGGCACTCACTGTGAAACAGTTGCAGTTACAAGTGGGAATTTTGCCAACTATTGCGGATTGCTTGGGTGAGCTACAAACGCTGTCTGACATGCACCAGGCTGAGTAAGAACCAAGTGAATACCTTCACCAAACCTGCTGTTTTTTTAGAACATCCTCAAAAAAAAATGAAGCTAATAATATGTAGCTGACTCATTTGACTCTCGCGCTATTGCTGATATGTACATTTGCCATCTCATATATGGGAAACTCACCTGCTTTCACCAGTACCATCTCTCTTGTAGCATTTTGTTTTTGCTGGTGTCATATGTTTAAGATGCTATTTGCCTTCTTTTTTGAAAGTTCATTGATATGTATCTTACTCTTTTTATCATAGCAGAAGCTACTTCTTTACTGATAATACATTGATATGCCAGGTATGCGCTGAAATCATCAATCATATCTTTGTTGACATGGAAAAGCAGGCAAGTTGGAATTTATGACCACTAAATTCTCTTTTGATCTCCTTAGATTTGTTTCCGATAATTCTGTATCTCTGTTAGTTTACCTAATACTAATCCCCCTCCCGTCCCTTAAAACCAGCAGTTAGCCAAATCTTGATTTTTATATTTCTTCATTTACTTTTGGTGCCTTTTCTTTTGCAGTTCAAGTGAAATCGCTGCAATGCGTCAACTCTTGGTAGACCAACCAAACATACCGAAAGATGAAGGTAAGAAATGAAACAATACAACTGAAGATATGATTTTTAATAATGCTTTGATCTGATGCTACTCCACTGTATCTTCCTCGTTTTGCAGTGCAATCTATTTTCGACATTATATTTGCGGATGAAATTTGTTAAGTTGAGTGTGTATCCTACCATCGGGAGCCTTATTGCCTAGACATGTTGAAGCCACTGTATTTTTATCTACTTTCTTATCTGGACAAAGCATTAAGGAGTCTGCAGTTTCAGGTTTAATGGCCCCAATTGCTATAGCAATCGTGACAAAGCTGGAATTAATTTACAGAACCGTTTGGCTTGTAAACCTGTAAGTTTTTTTTTTGAAGGAAAGCCTGCTGGCACTTTTATTTATAACGTGGCAATGTTACATCAAGAAGTACAAGTGGTAATAAGAAATTAGGAGTAACATCTAACCAAGCACAACTAGTCTTAGACTCGAAACAAGTCCTAGCCAGAAAGTGTGCCAACCTGTTTGCTTCCCTGGGACAGTGATTGAAAGAGATTGATGTAATACCATGAGCCAAGTGAAAGCAATCTGCAAGTAATGCGGAATTAGGTCCTCGAATATCTATCTTTCTGTTGCATGCATCCATCAGTTCCAAACAATCGGATTCCACTTCAATTTTTGAACATCCCATATCAGATATCATTTGGAGCCCTCTCCGTAATGCTAGTGTTTCAGCAGCCTGTGCATTGTATGCATGATCAAACGTTTCAGAAGCTCCTGCGATCGCTTCTCCACGACTTATAAACCTGTAAGTTGGTGCATAGTGCGGTCGAACATATTGGGAAGTAGCAATGTTCCGTCTCGTGGTATCGTCTAAGGCTCTATTTTTGGAAGCTGGTATCAAACTATTGATCTGCTGCAACTTAAAGTGGTCTACTGAAAATAGTTACTGGGAGTTATTTTTAATAAAGTTACTGGGAGTTTCTTGCATGAAGCTGCTAATGTGCGTACGATTATGACCTAACTTAAAGTTGTACTCCCTCTAAACGATCTTATATTTCTTTATAGAGGGAGTACTGTATAACTATCGTTCCTGGAGATTACAAATTTGTTTTATATCTTTCAAACATTTTTATGAGGGATATATTTCTTCCATACTTGGTACAACCGTACAAGAACATGTAAATTATTGAATGTGAATGGTCAGGTTGTGCTGGGATTCTCTTTCGTAAAGTTTTTTCATTCTTGCAAGAGAAGTTGTTACCGGCAACCATTTCAAAAAATCTGGTAACATATATGATAACTGGACCTGGTCATATGAGGAACAATCGCCAGGCGATCAATCGCCAGCTGGGCGAAAGAGAAACTGCGCGTACGTAACTCAGATGGGATGCAAATCAACACTCGTCGTCTGAGTTCAAGTTGTTTCCAAATTGCACTAAAAAATGTTCCCTAATATCGGCCATGTGTTTATAGGGTGGATGCTCATCGTTCCTGGTCACAATTTTCTCATGGACCATGTTGAGTCCTTGAAATAGATTTTGTAGGGTAGAAAAAATTGTACCCCTTCAGTTTCAAAATATAAGGTGTATTTTTTTTAAAAGTCAAGCTTCCCTACCTTGAGCCTAATTGAGTGAGAAAAATATTACTCCCTCCATTTTTGTATACAAGGTCACAAACCCATATTACAGATACCAAGGTAGAAATTAATGACTACTTAAACCAATATTGCAAACTAGTATTTTTTTCCTTGCTTGACATGCTAATTAATGTGTATTTTTCTCTCCAACGCACAACAAGACAACTCTCTCACTTCTCATTGGCTGATTAATACAATGCATGCAAATCAATCTTCTCACTCCCGCATGCATGCACGAGGTATTAATGTTTTCGCTTGCTTGTACGAGGCAAACCTCATTAATTTTACATCGATTTGTGTTAGTGGCATTGTATAGCTGCAAATTGTAATTTTGATATAGCCTTGTATACAAAAATGGAGAGAGTAATATCTACTCTATCATATTAGTATAATTAAATTCACCATAAAAATATAATTTCGTATTTTGTTTATTTGGCATTGTAGATGTTGATTTTCTTTCTTTAAAATTGGTCAAATATAGAATGATTGACTTAACAAAAAATAATAATACACCATATATTATCGGACGGGGGGTAGAATTGAGAACCCATCACTTGTGTGACTTACAAAAATTCCTGAATGCTTTTAAAATAAATCCCACTTACAAAAACTCTCGAGGCTCTATCTCCCTCGTGGTGTGTTGACATGGTAAGACCCTGATCTTATGAATTTTGGTTTGACCTTCGGCCTATGTTGCTGAAAGGCGAAGGTACTCCTCTTCTATTCTTCCGTGCCAGGGTGCGCACAGTCATCTTCGCATGAGCTTGGTGACGAAGTACACTTCGTCAACGTTTGTTCCAAGAGTCAAGGGATGTGTATTTTGTCATAACACGCGTTATGATCATATATTTTCATCGGTTGGGTGGGGTGGTTCGTGCGACTTTTCGAAATCTTTGAGGCTAATATGGTTTTATGCAGGCTTTGTCTTCTATATTTTTTTTTCCAGAAAAAAGGTCTTCTATAGTTTCTTCACTAATGTTATGGTGGAATGCAATGCAAAAAGTGAAAATTGGAGACACCGACTTCAAAGAACCCCATGTAACTTTTAGTCATGGATCTTTATCCTTCATTTGTTTGTTCAATCTAGACATCTTCCCTAACATTTACTAAATAAGCCACAAATCTTTGGCAGGTGTGTCCTACATGCAAGACCCGATATGAAGTTGCACTAGTCATGTTCATTAATGCATGCCGTGTAAGTGAGAAATGTATTTTGGCTCCATTAAAATCATAGAATGTGTCTTTTAAATCAAGATTCAGATTGAGTGCAAAATTCTTAAAATTTTCTTTCAGAGAACTGTTATGACTCACTTCATGGTTGCTGAATTGCTTTATGGTTATTATATGAATTTCTGTATAAAGATTAGTCATATAAAATTGAAACAGATCAAAAAAACAGTACAATAAACACACACAAAAATGTGTTTTTAATTTAACATCACAAAAAAGATTTCTGAGAAGACGATAAACACACAAATAGAATGGACGGTTATGTAGTGGGCTTCACACGTCAAAACATCTAAATGGGCCAGGCCGAACGCTGCACCCGCGAACTGCGTGGTGGGCCTCAGGCAACCCCCAGTCAGTCAGAAGGCCTGCCGGAGTCGGTCAGCGCAAATCAAACAGAACTCTTTACAATAAAATTCGGCCCATGTTCGCGATGTTTCGCCCTTGCAATCGCGTCGCGACTGTTTTGCCCTAATCCACAGCGGGCGCCTCTCCCCCTGCATCGCGAATACTCGGCTCCGCCCCCGCGGCCTCTCGAACACTCCCAAACCCTAGCTTTGGCGTGAACCCCATGTCGGGGTCGTACGGATCCGACGACTACCGCGGCGGCGGCTACGGCGGCCGAGGTCGCCTCAGGATCCTCGGAATCGGTTTTGTCTCCTCTTCGTGGATCGTTTTTCTGATTTTTTTCGTGTCTGTGTAGGCGGCGGCGGCGGCGGAGGTGGTCGTGGGCGCGGAGGTGGTGGAGGATATGGCGGCAGCGGTGGCGGTGGTGGAGGATATGGAGCTGGTGGCGGCGGTGGGGGAGGGTACGGCGGTGGCGGTAGAGGGGGTGGTGGAGGAGGAGGAGGCTACGGCGGCGGCGGCGGAGGCGGCGGGAGAGGTGGCGGGCGCGGGGGAGGACGCGAAGGTGACTGGACTTGCCCTGATGCAAGGTGGGTATCGAATTCTCATCATCTCGCTCTAGGATTTGGCGTTGGACTCGGCTGATCCAGCCGTGGCCTTCCATGGCATTTTATTGTTGGGAGCTTATGTTGTAGCGCCGTAACCGGAATTTCAAACATCACATCATTCTGATGCTTTAGTTTGAACTTCTGCTAGATGCCCTATATGGCTTTAAAATCATAACTTGTGATGTGATGCTATTCCTATGTGCAATTTACGCTCGAAAATATTGCTGGGCTATATGTTGATATGCCGTATTTGCCCTGGTTATTTACTCCGCTATATATTTTATTGGTTGTTACACCAGAGCATACACTTAATTGACGGTTTTATGTCTTACCGATGTTGTGCTCTTATTGGAAAATTAGTGGGCTCTAGTTTTGTGAACACTACCAGTTGTTTTCATGCTGAGGGTATTATTTTCTATGGAATCCTTGAGACTAAAAATACATGAACTCTTGTTGCAGCTGCCTTAATGTGAACTTTGCAAGGAGGACTGAGTGCAATAAGTGTGGGGCAGTTAACCCAAGTGGAGGTGGAGGTGGTGGTGGTGGCGGGGGGTACGATAGGTCTGGTGGAGGTGGAGGGTACAGTCGTGGTGGTGGTGATCATGGTTCAGGGGGTGGTGGCTACAGCAGAGGTGATGGGGATTACAACTCTGGTGGTCGTGATGGTGGTGCCGGGGGAGCAAGAGGAGGGTACAATCGTGATGGTGGGAGCGGCCGTGGTTTTGATGACCACCGTGGTGGGAGCGGTGGTGGTTATGGCGGAAGAGGCCAAGAGAACAACCAAGGTGACGGTGGCTATGGGCAGGCTCCCCCTAAAGGACCTCCATCCTATGGCGGTCCTCCAGGTGACTACGCACCGCCCCCAAGTTCCTATGGAGGCAACAATGTGTACAGTTCAGACTCTGCAGTGCCACCCCCTAACAGCTATGGTGGCGGTCGAGGCCCTTACCCACCAAGCTATGGAGCCCCACCTCCGAATCCATATGGTGGCGGTGCCCCAGGGGGGCAAGGAGGCCTGCCACCTACATATGATGGTGGTTATGGTGGTCGGTCTGTGCCTGGAGGTGGAGGCGCAGGTGGTGCTCCACCTCCTTATCATGGCGGAGGCGGAGGCGGCGGTGGTTATTCTGCAAATGCTGCCCCTGAACCTACAAAGGTTAAGCAGTGTGATGCAAACTGTGATGATTCCTGCGACAATGCAAGGATTTACATCTCAAACCTGCCTCCTGATGTGACTGTTGAGGAACTGCAAGAGCTTTTTGGAGGAATTGGCCAGGTATAGTTTACCTTCTCTTGAATTCTTTATCAATATGTAATATCCTAGAGCTCCGCATGCTGTGGATCTGTGCGTCCTCTAAAAACATATTTTGTGAGGTGCTCCTTAATTTGAACTGTATATATTAGTTCTTTATTGCTTGAATGCCTGGTATGTGTTCCTCTTAAAATATTTCACTTTCCACTTGGACTGTTATTGCCTGTGTCATATGATGTGTCATATGATGTGAAGTTGTGTTCTGTTTTCATCAGTTCATAGTTCATATTAAGTATGTAAGTTGCACTTGTTGATATTAGTAATATTTTCTATAATCACTGCATGGTTGGACCCCGTCTATCATTCTTTTAAGATATGGTGCTTACAAATAAAATGTGAAGTTTACGTGTGGTGAGACCATAGTGAGGGTAATTCTATCTGAGATTCGTCTAAATACGTCCCAAAATTACATACTCCCTCTGTCCCAAAATTCTTCTTGTCTTAGATTCGTCTAAATACGGATGTATCAAGTCACGTTTTAGTATTAGATACATCCGCATCTAGACAAATCTAAGACAAGAATTTTGGGACGGAGGGAGTAGTTAGTAACAATCAGCTTGACTCTGCTCACATAGTGAGGGTAATTCTATCTGATACTCGCTCCGTCCCGAAATACTTGTCGGATAGATGGATAAAATTGAATGTATCTATAGCTAAAATACATCTAGATTCATCCATTTCTCCGACAAGTATTTCCGGACGGAGGGAGTACATAGTTAGTAATAATCAGCTTGACTCTGCTCACATAGTTCTACTCCAAAATAGGCCAATTTTTTTTAATCACTGTTACTTCAGTATGTGTTTTAGTTTTTTACTTAAAAACTTTTTGGCCATGCTGAGTCGGTCAGGCAACATATCTTTGCCCAAGAACTCGCGAGATGGGGCCCCCATTGCTATTGCTAATCTTAGAGAACAGAATACTGCTGTTTTTCAATTATGTCGAGCACTTGCTGGTCATTTTATTTTGTTCTTTCAATACTTGCAACTACTTTTTAAAAGGTTGGAAGGATCAAGCAAAAACGTGGCTACAAAGACCAGTGGCCCTGGAACATAAAAATCTACACTGATGATTCTGGGAAAGCCAAAGGAGATGCTTGCCTTGCTTATGAAGATCCTTCTGCTGCTCATTCAGCTGGTGGATTCTACAACGGTATGTTGAGTGCTGTGGTTGCAACGATGCATCACATTTTTCTATTTAACACTTTGTGCTTTCCACTTCATAATGCATATGTTGTTCTTCCTTTTCAGATTATGACATGAGAGGCCGTAAAATTAGTGTTGTGATGGCTGAGAAATCAGCACCTAGAGCTCCTACATCTGGTCATGGGTAAGTACATCTTGCTTGTTTTTATCTGATAAGTGCAAATTCTGGAATGTAATGTCTACTCTGGGCCAATTATACCATCTGGCTCGTGCTACAGTTTGATATCTCAATTCGTATTTTCCAAGCATTGTCATATTATTTTGTCCTGTGTCATTGTGTGATTTACAGGCCTCTTAAAACTATTTAGCAGATATGAGAATATGCAATGAGTTGTCTGGTTGTTGCATTTTGGCCTGAAGAGGACAGAATGGAACCCAACCAAGTTAACCTGAATCAAATAACGTATCAGACATTGTTGCCATGTTACATATGCCTTGGATGACCAGATAAAGTCTGGAATCATTGCCAAGTACAGTTGACCATTATGCGATTTTTCTTTAAGCAGCTGAGCCTTTAAATCAGCATATATCTTGTGTATCTCCAGCTGAGTATAACTAAAATCATGATTGGTTGTATGATGTTAATATATAACCTGTTTGCCTCATTACTTGTTGTGCAGAGGCGGACGTGGTGGAGGCGGCGGCTATGGCGGGGATAGACGCAGAGATGGAGGAGGCCATGGGCCTAACAGAAACCAGGGTGGTGGTTCACGTTCGCGGCCGTACTGAAAAGAGTCATATAATTACTAAGATTGTCATCTGCAAGAAACCATTTATATTCATGTTCTCTCTGGACTTGTACTCATACAGGAGATCGTAAGGTAGGTTGTCTGCTTTTCCTGGACTTCTGTTCCATTGTCTTACTCCAGTGTTGGTCGGATGTTTGTTTGTCAAAAGTGATTGATCTATGTTATGTGAATTTTTCCTTAGAGGCAGCTGGATAAGCTCCAAATGCTGATATGTTTGAGATGTTATTACAGGTGAGTGCCAATCTATTATGATTATGCAATGCTTTGCTCTTATGGTGATTAGTTTCACCATATTATCATTTTTTCCTTTTTTGATCTAATGCTTACATTCCACATGGTATTCAGCCGGTGGATCACTGCTGTAAGCTTTGGATTTTGCTTTGGAGAACAGGTAGGGCGTTTTTGTTGTGTGGTTGATTCGCTTGATCCAGGATAGTCTGCTAGCGGTGTGTTTCTGTGAAAAGAATCTTCGTAGACTTGCACCTCAGTGATATTTTCCATCTATTTGTAAAATTTAATTTACTTGAAGTAAAGCCCTTCTGAACACGAGGAAATTAGCAGCTCTTAACGACATTTCCTTTATCTAGTCCTTCCGAGTTTCCATCTGCTAACTGAACTTCAGTGTCGTGTCGTTGCGGTCTGCTCTTTCAGACAATCCTGAAGCTGCAGATCCAGCTTCAGTTCAATTGGCTCTGATTTTCTTCAATTCATTTCTTTCCTCGTATGGTTCTTCATGGTAAACAACAGTGTCATATGACATACTACTCGAGTAATGTTTCATTGCAGCTGTTATATGACGTACTTAGTAATATTTCACTTCATCCGGTGATGTTTTGAGCAACTTACGGTACTTCAGTAATGTTTCACTTATTTCGTCAGAAGAATTGTAGCGAGTAGAAGGTCAAATGCGTTTTATGTGTTACCAAGAGGATTACCTGATGTGTATCAGTTTATATTGGTACTCTGATTGCCCTCCTCAGGACAGGACGTGCGCAATGCGTGCGTACGTTACCACGCGTGGACGTTGAACCATCACAGAAATCAGCTCACAGATAAACTAGGTTTTCTCGTGGACCCCAAAACCACGGCAAACGTGCGATTTTACATGCGTCTGCAACCCGATCGTTGAGGAGCTCAAAGGCGGCCCAAGAAGATGAAGAAAAATGAAATGAAGGCTGGGTATTCATTCAATTTTTTTTTGCTCTAAATGTAGTATATGAACCAAACAACACAACACTAGCAATGTATGAACAAAACAACACTAGCATAACGGCGATAGCAATATTTCAGTGTATCTGACATGAATCTATAAGTACTTTTTGATTGATAAAGTGAGGATATCTTCTTACAATAAAACTCTGTGGTCGCCTTTTTTGGAATAGATTGATGACATCTTCATCCTTCACTTGATTGAAAAATTATCTCTCAACGAATGTAACCAAATAATTGTTCATATATTCATCACCCATTTTGTTCCTTAGAGCATCTCCAGCCGTTGTCCCCCAGGAGGCATAAAAATCGCTGCCTGGGGGCGAGCCGGCAGTATAATCGGCTCTGTGGGCGGTTGGGCACCCATTCATTGCCCCCAGGTGCCGATATTGGCCCGTTTTTGGCGCAGGGCGAGCCGGCAGTATAATCGGCTCTGTGGGCGGTTGGGCACCCATTCATTGCCCCCAGGTGCCGATATTGGCCCGTTTTTGGCGCAAATGTGCTCGCTTTTTGGCCCATTTTCGGCTAAAAATGGCACGATATCGACGCGAATCGGCCCATATTTGGCATGGTTTGGCGTGAATTCTCTAACATAAGTAATTTTTTATCACATAGTTCATCAGAGAAAATCAATAGAAATAAAATAGTTCAATACAAATTATATACTTCAACAAATAAAAACTTTTGAGCTAGGCGTCGCCCTTGAGCCTTCATAGGTGCTCCACCAGATCCTGCTGCAGTTGTTGATGCACCTATGGGTCTCGGATCTCCTGACGCATATTGAGATAGGCAGTCCAGGTTGCCGGTAGCTGGTGTCAACTTGGGCAAGAGGACCCTGCATGTAGTATGGTTCAGTGTCAAACACTGGCTCTTTCTGCTCGCTCTCAATGATCATATTATGCAAGATGACACGGCAAGTCATGATCTTTCACATTTGATCTTTTGACCAGGTCTGAGCAGGTACCGGACAACAGCAAATCGAGATTGGAGCACACCAAATGCCCACTCGACATCCTTTTTGCAAGCCTCCTGAACCTTGTCAAAGTGAGACTTCTTGCCTCCTGGCACAACGTTTGAGATAGTCTTCACAAATGTAGACCATCTCGGATAGATGCCATCAGCTAGGTAGTACCCCTTGTTGTAGTGCCGCCCATTCATCTTGAAATTCGTCGAAGGAGAATGGCCTTCAACAAGCTTGGCAAAGACAGGGGAGCACTGTAGCATGTTGATGTCATTGTGAGTTCCTGGCATACAAAAGGAGTGCCAAATCCAGAGGTCCTGTGTGGCCACCGCCTCAAGCACCACACCGCAACCGCCTTTGGCGCCTTTGTACATCCCCTGCCAAGCAAATGGGCAGTTCTTCCATTTCCAATGCATGCAGTCGATGCTTCCAAGCATCCCAGGAAATCCTCTTGCTGCATTTTATGCTACGATCCAAGCAGTGTCTTCCGCATTGGGTGTTCACAAATATTGCGGTCCAAACACTGCAACCACTGCCCTGCAGAACTTGTAGAAACACTCAATGGTCGTGGACTCGGCCATGCGCCCATAGTCGTCGAGTGAATCATCAGAAGCTTCGTATGCAAGCATCCTCATAGCTGTCGTGCACTTCTGGCTTGAGGTGAATCCAAGTTTGCCGGTGCAATCCTTCTTGCACTTGAAGTAGCCGTCGAACTCCCGGATGGAATTCACAATCCTGAGGAAAAGCTTTCGCCTCATCCGGTAACGGCGCCGAAATACTTTGTCACCGTACAGTGGAGTGTCGGCGAAATAGTCGGAGTAGAGCATGCAGTAGCCTTTCAGACGATGACAGTTCTTTGCTTTCAGCCGCCCCAGTGTCGAGCCACCTCGCCGCGACTTTTCATCGCTCGCGAGCAGGGCGACGAGGACCATGAGATGTTCCTCTTCCTGGACGTCGACATCGGCTTCCTCCTCCAACAGAGCGGCGAGCGCCTCCTCGTCGTCCGAGTCCATCACCGAGCAGACAAATCGCCGAACACCTGGTGAAAGTGATGGACCAAGCGGGCCGAAAGATGGAAGCATCACCGATAACCACGTGAGTTAGTGCCACAGGACAACCACTATCGCTTGCATGTGTGCCAAAACATATATATGGAGAGGGTGTGGTTGTGATGTCATGAATACCTAAAGCACAACCTTCGATGTGGCATTTGCCTCAAAAACCGCAAAGTCCCCACACAGAGTGAGATTCATGTGTGACACCTAGTATATGTTGGTCCCATCTCCCCTTCGACACGTACTATATATATACTCCTACCCTAACACAACCCTAAAAGAATTAATACTCCTTGTTCTTCAAATGTGCCTCTCTCTCGTTGGGTCGAAGTGATGGAAGATAACCTCGCGGGCCCACAGATGGAAGCGCCGCACGCGAGTGAGTTCCTATAGGGCAACCACCGACCGCATGGTATTTCATGATGTTTGAATACCAATGCACAACTTTGATGTGGCACCTGCCTCGGGAACCGGAAAGTCCTCACATG